CGCTAAAAATTAAATAACTAAATAAATACTTTCTATTCTATTCTATTACAACTGTGTGTAGCTTAACATGCTTACCCATTAGCTCTTTACCAGGCAGGCTAAGTGCTTCCCGCATCTGTCAGGGGAAGCTTCATAGCCTTTGAACTCTACTACAAGATAATAATGTTCAAAATATGTCGACAAATGGCAAAGTAATTACAGGTAGCAATTAAATTTTACGTTTTCTTTGAATCCTGAGGTAATGAGGACAAAAACTGCCATAAGATAGAAGCCTAAACTAAAATTAGGTATGTACTGTATGTACACAGTGTACTTTATTAATAAGATGGGGTAATGTAGTGATTTTTATCATGTGTGTGTCTTTCAATTTAATTATAAACTCTACTACATAAGAAACAATTCTTTAAAAGTTAAGTATTTCGTGGTTTTTGTATTTTAATAAAGTATAGTGTATTGAATACTAAATACAGAAGGGTAGCGAAATAAAACATCAATTTCCAATACATATTTCGTTATTTATTTTAAACATCGATAGTTGATAATTAAAGTTATTCATTACATTCATTTTGCATTTTTAATGCTAAAAGTACACAGAAACATGATATTTGAATCGAAAAATGTGCGTGGGACTTAACCCTGAGTTCCCGGGACATTTTTTTAAAATTTAGGATAACAAACAATTGTACAATTCAGAGACACAGTAAAAAGTTATACATAGACATTTAGTTATTGTACAACCCGCACCGCTATCCATATAATTGACATTAATTAATACAAAAGATGCCTTAAGAGCATATACAAGTACATTTACTACACACATTTGAATCATCGTGTTACATCGACGCATTGCCAAGTGAGTGTTAGTTAGTAATTATTAAGAGCGTTTACGTCTANGGACTGGTTACTGGGCTATGGATGGAGACTACGGGACACCTGCCTGGTTCATAGTCTCGGACTGAAAAAATGGCAGGCGGTGACTAGCCAGCGACTAAATGGGCCCCCCCTGGCGTCATGGGTCGTACAGACCGGACTGAGGGGCAACATTGGCGTCTGCCAGCTCAGGAGTGTAGAGAGGTGTGCTGCGCTTTCTCCGAAGTTACTCGCGGCGTTATGCCCTTTAACACTTCCACCCCTGGAGCATATAGCTCTAGCGACTCCACTCTGGCCGGCCGGTTAAGGCAAGCCAGAGGTGAAAGTCCTGCAGACCCTCTCGGATTCCACTTCGGCAAGCCGAAGACGAGGGTCTTGACCGACTCTCGGGAGCACTCGGATTAACAACTGGCCCCGTGGTGTCGCTACTCACCAACAGCTCGCCACAAAGCTGCCCTGCGGGGCTTTTATTATTATTATTATTACTGGGGGACTCGGCCACGGACCCGAATTTTCAGTTACAGATTACACCGGCCTTTTCTGAGAACCCAACTCGTTGGAACTCCATCGTTAAAAATTCTTTCACCATAAAATCCTACATTATTTCTGAAGAGCACACTCATGGTACGAAGTTCGCCGGGTCAGCTAGCTTGACACATATTTAGGTTAATTTGCAAGTCGTTACATTTAGAGCAAAATCAATCAATGTAATCTTTCTGTAATTATGCATTTTTGTCATTTTTCGTTAATATGAAAACGATCTACTTTTTTATCCGAGCAACATGATTAGGCGACGTTAACCACATCATTATGATTGTTGTATGTAGGGTACCACCTACGTGTATTTGTCAGGACTTCCCCGGATTTGTTGTAGTTTATAGGGCGCCCGAGGCAGGGCAGGGTTTGTTTTCCGGGCTATAAATTTCAGTCTATATAAGGCCGATGCCAGGCGATGCACTAAGTTTAAAAAAAATCTTTTTACATGTCCGGGTTCTGGCCTCTAAATCCGGGGTTTTCATGCGTCTTATCCTGATTGCCAAATTTTAGAGATGGAAACCCTAGTTGTACCTATGCGACATTTTCAATTTTCATTAAATCCACATACGTGCAAGTTGTTCGTAGCTATTGTGATCTCAAAATGAAAATAAATTGACTCTGGAAAGGTATTTTGCCGGAGTTAAAAACCAGAGAAGGGTCCGATAACGAAGGCCCCATGCCACAGAATAAATAATAGGAGAACTCTCATACATACATAAGTGTAGGTAGGTACGCTGCTCTTGTGTAACAATAGCTTTGGTACTTAAGTATGTCATTATTACGTGTCGTGAGAAGTAGGTACTCGTAATCGATTTTCAGGAAATTTCAGTACTAGATAGCGGCCCCCAAGTATTGAAGAAGTAGCACGAAAGTAGCCGAGAAGAACGCAAAGCAGTTGCCTATGTAATTTGGAATTGTTCCATTCAGCTTCATTTTTATAAAGAACTGCATGCTCAGTAATAAAAGTTTTTATGGATTCAACTGGACACTGTCTAGTTCATTAGAAAATTGAAACTGGTTAGCACAACCTGAGGCCTGATAAAGTGCTAAGTCACCATGTGGTTGCTACGCTATTGACCGTACTGTACCCAGGATCGGGATATCAGGATCATTTTAATCGTGTGTGTGACATTTTCAATGTTGGAGTACCTACATTCGTTCGTTCGTTTCAGCCGAAAGACGTCCACTGCTAGACAAAGGCCTCCCCCAAGGATTTCCACAAAGACCGGTCGTGCGCCGCTCGCATCCAGGCACCTCCCGCGACCCTCACCAGATCGTCGGTCCACCTAGTGGGAGGCCTGCCCACGCTACGTCTTCCGGCTCGTGGTCGCCACTCAAGAACATTCCTGGAGTATGTACATACGTAGGTGAAAAAAAAATGTTTAAAATTATACAGGGTGTCCCAAAAACAATGGATAACCCTGTAACCATCGATAGGCCTCGCCATGGTCTCCCTAACGTCCAATTTTGACCCCAGTAAAAATATCACCGTTTTCAAGACTTAAGTTTTTGTGCATTTTTAGAAAATTGCCACCTGCGATTACTTTTTCTCATGTCATTTCTACAAATGGAGGATACTTTTCAATCTTGTTTTTTTCCTTATCACAAGATATAGTTAGGCTATCAAAAGAAAAGATTAAAGTTCAACAAACTAGTTTAAAAGTATGAAAATTTTAAGAAATTGCAGAGAAGAAGGAAAAATTAATTCATTGTCTTGCACATTTGATCAGCCATCGTGTAAAAAAAATTAAGGAAGACCATCGTGCCCATTACCTTAAAAACTTCCTTGGTTAATTGAGATTCTGAAAAGGTATCACAAGCTTATGTATTCTGTATTATTTTTATCTTATGGCTACTTGAATAGCAACTAGTATGAAAACTGCAAAAATGAGTTTTTCTCGTAATTTAGTTAAAGTCCTAAATCGTGTACTAGGGGTTACTACGCGACCTCAGATCACTATGATCTGAGTACGCGACCGACTCGCCCATTATCAGATGCCATGTCGGATTGTTAAGGTACTTTTCCTTATCGAAAATAGAGGCATCATCTTTTTTTGGACTGCGTGATGGATCTTAGATGAGCTTTTGTGGCTTTAACTAAGCAGAGCGACTACACTCGCGAGCAAAAGTTTGGAATCACTTACATGAAGTTGTTTCCACGCGATCTTGTGTACTAACGAATTTGTTGGTAACAAAAAAAGTGGCACCATTTTAAAGATTAAACTTTTATCTTTAAATTAATACCAAATTCATTTAAATCACACCAGTATTTAAAAAGATATCCCGGCTGATGTGAAGAANTTGATACATGTCTTTTTCGTTACTTCTTCACATCAGCCGGGATATCTTTTTAAATACTGGTGTGATTTAAATGAATTTGGTATCAATTTAAAGATAAAAGTTTAATCTTTAAAATGGTGCCACTTTTTTTGTTACTAACAAATTCGTTAGTACACAAGATCGCGTGGAAACAACTTCATGTAAGTGATTCCATACTTTTGCTCGCGAGTGTAGTTCATGACAAATTTCAGCGTTAGCAAGTAGGTTATTCAGTGGCCTTATAGAGTGCCGAATCGTATCTAGTGGATGCTACGCTCTTTTTTGGACTGCATGATGGATCTTAGATGAGCTTTTGTGGCTTTAACTAAGCAGAGCGACGAGTTCATGACAAATTTCAGCGTTAGCAAGTAGGTTTTTCAGTGGCCTTATAGAGTGCCGAATCGTATCTAATGGATGCTACGCTCTTTTTTTGGACTGTGTGATGGATAGATGAGCTTTTGTGGCTTTAACTAAGCAGAGCGATGAGTTAATGAAAAAATTCAGCGTTAGCAAGTAGGTTTTCAGTGGCCATAGAGTGCTGAATCGCATCTAGTGGATGCTACGCTACCACTGTTTGAGACTGATGCGTAGAATTAGTGAGCCCATTATAGCATACTCGGAATCATTATAGGTGTGTGACATTCTCAATGTAGATAAAAGAAAAACCATTCAAAAATGATAACCTAAATTTTTATTTAAAAAAATATTTTTTGAAAGTTTTATTTGCAACCTTGGGTCTGTAATAATAAAGTATAATCTATTTTCAGCATTTGACAGTATGGAGGTTCTTTCCCTAACTGCCAGGGTTAGTTAGTTCATTGTAATATTTTTTTAAAGGATTGTGTGATTAGAATTTTACAGCTTCAACTGCATAGAGTAGTAAAAAAACTGGTTAGCAAAGTAAGTATCCAATGACCTGAAAAAGTCGAGTTTCTTTCCCTAACCGACACGGTGGCCACTCCATTCATATATTTTTAAAAAGGCAGTATACATTTATGTTATAGAAACTTTTGACGCTTCACTTACAGAGTGGCGAGTGGATGAATTAAAGCATAGAGACAATAAGTTTTTGAAAGAAACCAGGTATCTCCCTGATCTTATAGAGTGCTGAGTATTAGACTAATTAGTGGTTGCTACGTCACCGCTGTTTGGGACTGATGAGTAGACTCACAGTGCCTATTATGGCTAAGTACAATTTGTTTACTAAGTGAAAATTCCAGTGTTGAGGATGTTGGGGTACGCACCTACGTCAAGTAAAAAAAATACAAAAGTGATTCAAAAATGATACCTAAATATTTATTTAAAAAGCCTTATTTGCAACCTTGGGTCTATAATAATAAATTATAATCTATTTTCAGCATTTGATAATATCGCCGTCCACGCAGCGGCCCGAGACGGGGTCGAAGCCGTAGCCGGCGTCGCACGACAGCAGCCGGGCGCGGCCTTCCTCGCACGAGAAGAACGCGAAGCAGTTGCCTTCGTATCTGGAAATTAAAATTTTGGAGGTTAGTGATTAATCTCTACTTACTAGTTACTTAAACCTGAAGAGTGTGTTTGCTTGAACGCACTAATCTCAGGAACTACTGTTTTAGATAAAAACTTTTTTGGGTTGGATAGCCCATTTACCGAGGAAGGCATTAGACTATTTATCATTAGATACCCTACAGTCAATAGGGGCGGAGCAGTAAAGAAAAAATGTTAGAAATTGACGCCATTGACGCCGAGTAGCCTATTATATCAATGGCTTAATTAGATAATAATAATAATATGAGTCATCAAACAATACCTTAATTAGATAATATGAATCATCAAATCTATTTTCCATTCTGAATAGCGTATCAGTTGATTGGTGATGTCAACATGCCTATTATGGATGGATAGGCTATAAAATACCTATTTTATAGCCTCGTACCTACGAGTAATCCATAAATTCCATAATAGTTCATTAATGGAAAACTTAAAGGTACTATAGTATACATACATACATACACGATCATATATATTTTCTAGTAAGACTTCGCTACTGGGCTGGATATGACCAGTTTATACTGAAAGTAGTTAAAGTTAAGGGCTAACTCCACCATCATCATTATGTACTTACTTGTAGTTAACTGGCCCTTCTATAAGTTCACCAATTTCATTTACCGGTGGAGGGGGGCACGTGAATCCCAAGAAAGCTGAAAAGATTAAATATTTTTAAGAGATGACAAATTTTTACTAAATGCTATGACTGGTCCATGATTACCTTTATATTCATTGGATGACGTCCATGATGTGAGAAGCGGTTCGAAGGAACGAAATAAGGATGTAGTTAGTAAGAGTTATGTCCGTTTTCACCATCAATCCTTAATTTTTAAGTGACCCCTATGGTAACATAACAGGAATTTTGTTGTCACCAGGAATTGATGGTGCATGCAAAACGGGCATTAGGCTCTTGTTTCACGGACGTATCATGACGGATACGCGTTGGTTCAGAAACCCAGCATTGTTATGACAACAAACCATTTATTTTGCTTAACATAAAAACATAGGTAGCAATCACACACTCTAGACATATGCTTTTCCGAAATATCTTACCAGCAGCATTGCAAGTGGACACAGTATCAGGCCAGTCGCAGCGGGCATTGCTGGGGTTGAAGGCCAGCCCAGGGGGGCAGGCCATCTCGACGGCGACACCGTCGACACACATGCGGTAGTATCCACACTCATCTGCTGTGGCCTTGGGGGACGGGAAGAACCCATAGAGGTGCGGACACTCGGCGCTGGGTTGAGCGGGTTCTGGAAAGTTCCATAAGTTAGCAAAATAGGGCTCTGACTACTATGGTCAGGCCTTAGGCTACTCTATACTGTAACTCTACCACGCGGGTCCAGTTTTAAGTGGCCATCCATATTTATCTTTGTCACCGCCTTTGTTATCAAAGCCAATAAGGCTGGGTTACATTATCTTACACGCACAACTTTAATAGTAAGACCCGTGTCTTACTTATTTTAGTTGAAATGGAACGCGAAAGTTTAAAATCTTATACGCACAATTTTAACAAACGTCGTTACTGTTAAAATAAGATGATGGAACTCAGCCTTAGTGTCCATTGATTATTTCGTCGTTTTTAAATTATATTACTTTTACTCACGAGCGATACCACGTCCTGCGCAATCCACCTCCATGGGGTAGCCACAGGGATAGTTTGGCCATGCCACTGCAGGGTCAAAGTGGAGACCGTCAGGGCACTGCATTTCCCTTGATCTGTAGTCCTGTATCAAAAGAAATTTATCTTAAAATTACTACGACTTATCCGTATTACTATACGAGAAGAAAATCTTATACTATACAGGTGTCCTTGTAAGTAATGGATCAAACTTAAAGAATTGATTCTACGACTCAAATGCAACAACTTTCCCCAAGAGACGGAAATTCAAATCTTCCAAAAATAACAATAATTTAATGTTCATAAAAAATGTCTTGAGTAATTCTTCTTCTTCTTTTCGTGTCGACAACAGACCTACACAGTATCAGCCCAAATATCCGCCACAAGAGTGGCGTTGTCAGTAGCACTCATCAATTCCTCCTGAGTGCAGTTGCTTGGGCACTCAGGGCATGACATCAGGTGCTTCATCGACTGGGGAACAAAACCGCACCTGCACTCCATGTTTAAGCCATCCAAGAATCCCCACCTGACCAGATTGTCCTTACTACGGCCAACCTGCGCCCGAAGTCTATTTAAAGACTTCCAGGTAAGCCAGTGGAGCTTATGTCCAGGTGGAGGACTCTCAGACATAGGGACAAAAGGGCAGGGGAGATCAGCGCTTTCGCGCCATAGCCTGCATCTCTCTTTTGACCGATCGTCATGAAGGAGAGGGGACACACTTGAGTAATTAGCCAATTTTTTGTTTGACCCATACTAAGGATACACTGTAGGTTTAAGGTAGTAAGGTAGAATGTAATATTATTACGAGGCAGATATTTCAATCGATTACATCATGTAAATAACATGTTAAACCTATGTTACAAGTTGCAAGAAAATGTTTTTATGCAATAACATTAGTAAGATGTTTTCTAAGCATTCCACCAGCCCGTCCATTTGCTTTGTTTTTGTAATACCTACATTGCGCTGTGCGCATGCTATGGTCTTAGGTGCCTATATTTTATTGAGTGTCTATTGAATGATCATTGTTTTTTACAACTTCAGGTGAACATAATGCCTATGGAATATTATTTTCCTTTTTTTGGACCAAAGAAATTCCATTCATGCTTAATTGGCTTTTTCCGTCTCTTTTTTTCGTAGTCTCATGCCAGCATTAATTAAGATAACGTTTTATAAGAAGGACCTAGTAGAGCCGATAATTTATTGTCTTTATTTTATAGGGAAAACTATACAGCAAACTAGATCGACGAACAATTTAGTAAGAATTACTATTTATTTGCTCAATTATTATGTATCTGAAGAAAACTATTAAGGCTGGGTTGCACCAACTTACTTTAACGAATGTCAAACATCTGTCAATCTCCATACAAAAAACGCCGGTTATCGTTATAGTTACGGTTTAAGTTAGGTGGTGCAACTCTACCTTAATTCTACAAAGTTACTTTACCTTATGTAGTTTCTAGCTAACGAGTTCTTATCATTCGATTGATTTGAGGGTGTAATGTAATTTAAAAAAAAAATTCAACTTACCCGACATTCTACGTATGCATCGCAGTTCCCTTCGATGCCGTAGAAACCGTTCCGTGTTCCGCAGACGGGATCCCGTTCTACAGCTATCTGACCGTTGCCTGTTTGGATTCAGTTCTTAAGTTTAATATAAATAAATTAGGCGAAAATAAAAAACAAAATTCGTAAGCACTATCTTTGGCACCACTATGTCACACGTAATTTTTACACATGATATAATTTCTAAACGTTAAATTTTTGTACTCACACATTGCAACAATGGCAAGAGTAAAAGACACGAATCGTAGCATTTTGATTTTTGTCACTGACCACTCCGCGGTCTCTTTTTTCTTGAATGAGTCTATATGACAAAAGTGCCGAATTATATAGCTTTGCTAAAAAACATTAATTTCTTACTCCTCTTACAACTTTACTTAATTATCGTTAATTAGATACCTAGTCGTTAGTGGTTTCAAATAGTTGTGGCGAGCCGCGATTGAAACTTCAATTGATTAAGTAACAATATTTTATTATCTTTAACAATTCGTGTAACTTATTTTACGAGTATCTTAATAACTTGGTCATAAAGTTAGAGGTATCCCTTTGTACGCAAGTTCAATTTACAGCACAAAATACCGTAGACCGACGTATTACCTTAAAAAGACATGTAAGGTAACAGATAACATATTACTACGGAGATTTATAATTTTAAACATTCATTTTGCATAGAAATATTTTTGGCAAAATGGTAACTGGTAAATTACACTAAATGACTGGTTGTGACGTCACCAAATACAAGGACGTCTGCATGGTTGACGGGGTTTAGTAGTTTCTTCTTTTCTGCTGAGGTGTCAGAGAGCTGAGGGATTGTTCTAGAGCCTGATGTTCCTTCTCTTCTTTCCTTGCTCTGGCGGCGGCGTTCCTCAGTTCCACTGGGCAGGCGTCGACCTCGTCGGCGGAGACACAGGTGGAGGTCAGGTCATCGAAGGCAGAGTCTCCTCCGCAGGCCAGGGCTCGTGGACGGCCCTCGATGCATAGGAAGTACTTTTGGCAGCTCTCGTCGGACCTGAAAGAGGAATGGTGGTGGTACACTCAATTTGACATAATCTAAATAACTAATTCAAAAGTTTATGTGTAACGAACATTGGTATTGGTATCGTTCTAGGCGACGCGTCGTGCTTATCGCTATAAATGTAGAGTCGTTTTGTATTTTTATTCAATTAGTTTTCTTGTTTATGCGCTTTACGCATTTTTGAAAGAATCCTTTTAATAAGAATTTATCTATCAAGCGTAGAGTAACGCTTGTGATTGGTTGAACTTTAATATTCAGATTATTTTCTGCCTGTTCTTCGCTAGGGTTTGTATGATCCTTTGAAGACCCAAGTTCCGCGTGAACTGTCTAACTTCATAAAAATACTTAGGTAGGTACCATTTTTATGTAAGCTTTAGCTTGGTCAAACGCCATTGACATTATTCAACAGGTATTGGTGCATCTTACAGCATTCCACCACACTAGTTCGTACGGTCTTTCTAATAAATGATTTATGTTCTATTAGATACAGCGTTCGAAATATTTCCCAAGTGGTTGCAAGCCTAAACCGTAATCTTAATTGCGCAAATAGGATATGTTTACAATAAAATCATACAAACTACAGGTTAGGTCGACTTGGCAATCGCTGGCATTTCTATTAACGAGGTTACATAAGGCAAGGTCACCGCTCATCTGCTGACATTTAGCACCGACTGACCGGTCGTTAAGTAACCAGTTCTCACGTCATAAGTATGTAAATCACTAAATATCAGTTACACATACTTAATACTGCTACTAACCTCTAGTTTAGTCTAGAAGAATAAGCACAGAAATGCTTTCGGTTTTATTAACCAGTTGTACCAGATTTCCATAATAATTAATTATTATAATGTAATTAAAGGTCAATTTTTTTTATTCATTTTAATAATCAGCTTCATAAAACAGTTACTAATTAGGTATAAATAATAATTTATATTTACCTGTAAAATCTGTATCCAGCTGGGGGTCCGAGTTCTTTAGAGATGGGAATTTCAGGGCATCGGAATCCGAGGAAGGCTGAAATCAATTGAAAAACGGTTAAAACAGCACATGAATAGCATAAAGCAAAGGTAACAAGTAACATATTATACGAGTAGATGCAGTAGGAAACCTTACAATAGTTATCTTTCAATTGTTTCAACTGATGATTTTTGTTAAAACTGATGGAATGGAATGTCAATTGATCGTCATTTGTTTTTATGCGTTCTCCTTGCAGATAAGTTTCGTAGTCGTTCTCTTGAAATTCTCATGAAGTCTCATTCCTTTATCTTACCCCAGCAAACAGAAGAGTGGCAAATTTTTACTGACTGAAACTCGTTGGAAAGGGAGGAAATCATGTAGCATTCTATTTGAATCTAATTTATAATTAATAACTGCAATGTTATTATTTAATACTGGCCATAAGTATATACAAACCGTATGAAGCCATAAATAAAATAAAAAGTTTTGAAATATCTGCCAACTGATAAAATAGAATGTCACTCGAACGTCATTTGTTTTTTATGCGTTCTCCTTGCTGGTTAGTTCTTTGAAGATGATGGCCAACTAACCTTCAGCGTCGCAAGCGGCAACTTCATCGGGCCAGTCGCAGCGGTAGGTGTCGGGGTTGAAGGCCAGGCCCTCGGGGCAGGTGAAGTCGTAGCCAACGCCGCTCACGCAGTTTCTGAAGTAGCTGCAGTTCCTTGCGTCCCCAAGCTTGAAGTAGCCGAACTGGTTGGGGCAGTCCGCAGTGGGTTGGGGTGGTTCTGTAATTTTGCGTTAATATAAGGTATTGTTGCTTTGCTATATGAGGCACTAACTTGACCTTATGCACTAGAGACAGAGAAGGCCGCACTGAAAAAAAAAATGGCGGAAGATGATTCGTTGAACTTTACCGTGTCTTTCTAAATACAGTCTAGATATAATTAATTTTAGTAAATATGCAAATAAGTCTCAATATTATTCATGAATGTCTACGTAAAAACAATCGCCGTTTAAATATTAGTTCTATTTTTTATCTTCAAATAACAAGGAAAAGAGACAAGCTTTTTTGTCAAAATTGTTTGAACCCTAGATTTTTTAATGCAAAATAATAATAGTCTACTACAATCATCTACACCACAAAAACTTGCTTGACTGAGAATATTAAAATTCTTGGAATTGTCGAAACAAGAGATGATATCAACATCCTCAACACAAGAATCTGCGATGAATACATGATTTTGCAACGTGCTGACTCATTTTTTAGGCATTTACAAAGAATTATTGCTACACCGCACCTCGTACATCTGGTAGGCAAACAAAATCAGTAACCCAAAGCACGGACCCTTTCAAAATTCGTTACAATTGAATTGAAACCAATCTGTTCTGCGTTAAATTATTGTGAACATATTTCACTGAGGATCATTCCCACGTTCCTAAAAAGATGGCCTTTGCCTTTAATAACCTAGACCCATCAACATTTTGCAAAATTAGTTCAGTGGGCTAGGTGTGAAAACATAACAGACAGAAATCTTTGACATAAGTAAACATAAACATCTTTTCACATAATAAGTATTATTATGTAGTATGACGATCATATTTTGAACAGCTGAAATATATTGGTAAATAACTGCTATTCGCACTCTTCAGCAACTGTTCAGATGTTCGGGAAACTGCTAACGACCTTCATCCACAAGGTAGAAAATATCTAAGAAGGATTAGAAGACTAGGAAGAAAAAAAGAAGGTAGTAGGTTTGTAACTTACGGAGGGAAGACCGCTCAAGGCACTGGTAGTCATTCGGGTACTGGCAAGGGTACGCATTGAAGTTCAGGTTGGGGTTGAACCTGAGACCATCCGGACAAAGTTTCTCTTCGGCCGTTCCGTTCTGCAAGAAAATAATCGACAGGTCAATTAATTTCTGTGATATCATTAATTGCAGTTTGATGACTTGTGTGCTTATGTTTTTGTGTGGTAGGTCGGGATTTTTAATGCTTCTTTTCTAACTGTTCTTTTTTCTTTTGTTTATTGCTAGCATAATGATACTTTTAGTACTATACTAGACGAACTTAGTGTCGAACGTTTTATTATCTTTTTTCTAAGACTGCAATATTTTATGGAGGCAATTTTTACAATAATTCGAAGAAGTTAATGCGATAGGCCAAGAAGATAGGTAAATACAAAAATCCTGGCACCCTTCTCATTAGCCTTGTTGATATAACACTACTTGTCACTGAATTTAAGCTGACTAAAAAGCCCTTTCTAAGTGGAGAAGAAATGGCAACCTTTTCATTCAAATCTTGAGGTTGGAGAGTCTTTGTTGGCCAAATAACCACGATCTTTAGAAATGAGTTAAGACTAACTAAAGACTTAAGAAGTTCAACTTACAATGCATTCTATGTATCTGTCACAGCTGCCAGACACGGGGTACCGCTCATTCAACTCATGGCAGGAGCCTGCACTCTGACTCCTAGCTGGTTGCTGTTGACTCGCCAACGAACCCTGCTGGTTGCCATACTGCTGGTTTCCAAACTGTTGGTTCCTAGATTGACTGGTCCGCTGGATCTGTCCAAACTGCGCGTACGCTGTGGGAATAAAATGGTCGTGAATTGGTATTTTTGTCAAGGTCAGTGTTAAGATTTATGTTGTGACCCACACGTGAGAATTCGGTTGGCCGTTTTTGCATAAAATTGAAGCACATCGTCAAGGTAACCAAATTTATTTTTGTAAAAAAATTCAAGAATTTGGCTATCGTCAAGATAGCTTGAAAAAACCGTTGTTGGAAAAATAACTTAAAATTGTCTCTTTATTGCTAATATAAGGTAAAAGAAAATTTACTTAGTGAATTTTCCCGTAAATTGCGAAGGTCCTAAGAATAAGCATTCCTACATTCCCTTTCCAGACTAGTAAGTTTAATACACTATCGTGCTAAAATGCATGCAAACATCTTCATATTTTATGTTATGTTCGTACGTGTGGGTCTGTCATAAAAAACAAAACACGGTTTAAAATAATACTGCACATGCGATTCGTTGCGCTTTTCCTTAAGAGCCTCAAAATGGCCGACAAACAAATAAAAATAATAAATGTGTGATTATGCAGGTTTTATTTACGAGCTGTGTTATTTTTGGATTGCACTTCTAAATTAGAGGTCATCCGTGATTTATAAAGTAGTCTTCTACAGTTGTGATGATTAGATATTCATTATCCTTATTTCTTAAGTAGACTAGTATAGTCTACCATATTTATTAGACACAGTAGTACCTAACTAAAGATTTTAATATTTTGAGGTCAAAATACAGATTAAGCTCCAAATGAGGTCTAACGTTTATTCCAAAGAGGTCACAGACTCA